CTGTAAGAATTTATTTATTAAGTTAAATTAAATTAAATTAAATTTAGTTTTATTTATTTGAATATACGGGTAAACACTCAATTTTACAATAACGGAACAAAAATATACTTTCCTTCGAATGACAGAGAATCGGTAATTTATGTAATAAGTTTATGAAAGCTTTAAATTTTGCGACACTGGCTGCAAATACGTCTAACTTGTCGCCGTTGTCGTCAACGAATCGAAATATCCTGGTGAAAGGGTCAACCGCGTTAAATCTCGATGGGCAGAATGAAGCAATTAGTGTAGAAGTGAGAGAAATGGCAGGCCAAGGGGTTATCGGGAGCGGAGTTCGGTCGTAATGAAATAGACCGAAGAAAAGTAGTAAATGACTTGGATTAACCCCTGCGTGTAGAACCACTCCGTCGTCGATGTAAATTTTGAAACGCGAAACGTTGATCGACGTAAAAGTGTAGAGAGAATCGGAATCCAGAATGGTATCGCGATGATTTGTCAAAAATTCCGCAAAATTGCTAAAAGAGAATAGAATTACGAGCGTCTCGTATTCTTATATTTTTTACACTTTTATATCGCATTATAACGAGGCAGCTATCGCACGAACTACCAAAGAATGTAAAAGATTGTAAAAATTGGAAGCAACGGGGAAGGTGTAAAGTGATGATATTTTATGTAGAATCACGGCATCTAGGCAAAAATAAGTGAAACAGAATTCAGAATACAGAAATGAGTACCTGGATGCTCGGTTGAACGCACAAGGGTTAACCCTTTGCGGCCGAGGACTTTTTCAAGCGAACTTCTCGCTGGATCGAATAATATTATTCTAACGTGTTTCGAATAATATTATATTATTATTATTATTATATAGTAGGGAAATTTTGATGCCGCTTGTACGGCGACATTAGACCGAAAAGGGTTAATACACCTAACGTATAGCGGAAGCGAAGAAGACCGCGGTGTGCCCCGAGCCTCGAGGGTGTCTCAAAGACTTCGAACAATTGCCTATCGATGTATTATACTTGCAGAATTTTCTTCGATCTATGTACAGTCAATTCTCCCTGACCGACGCTCGGATTGTGCACAAAAATAGACAATTTTAGAAAGAGAAGATACGATCGTTCGTGCCTTGCGGCTCGTTTTTCATAGTTACCGATCGTCAACTACAAAACGAAGCGGAAGGCTCGAACGATCGCATCTCCACTTCCCAAATTGTCCATTCTTGTGCACAATCTAAGCGTCGATTAGGGAGAATTTACTGGATAACGCGAACGCAGTATTTTATCCGAACATCGGGGAAGACTGATCGCGGGAAAACCTTAGAGACGCCGCGGTCCCCGTCGAAATATTTACGCGTTCCATTTAAGAATTCACCGAGCGCGTCGAGCAGAATCCGCTCGCGGCTTATCGAAGCGGTTAATTCGATGCGGAAACGCTCACGCGAGCGTCGCGTAGCGGCTTGCTCGAGGAACGGCAGAATTCGCGGTCGACTCCGAGGCCTCGAAGGGCGGCTAAACCGGAAGTATCCGCGACGGAAGGATTCGACGACGGGCCGATCGGGCCGAGAGAGAGAGAGAGAGAGAGAGAGAGAAAGAGAGAGAGAGAGAGAGAGAGAGAGAGAGAGAGAGGTGGTCCCATGCTCCGTGATCTTAAGGCAAGAAGAAATATGACCGAGCTACTGACGTCAGCTTCCTTTTGCCGCGACCGACAGCCGACCACCCAGAATCCTGTCACCACCCAGCCGTTCGAAGGACGTTGCTCCAAGTCGAAAGGATCGACGGAACGAGAGACGATCCGAGGACCGGCCCTTTCTCGATTACTCGGGGACCGTTGGAAAAACGCAAGATCGGCGTGATCGACGCGTTCGAACGTTGAGGGGTGCGTTCGATCGTTTATCGTTGCCGGAGTATGTGCATACGTCGTTGCTCGCCGCCAGCTTGTTATTATCGCGCACACGCCACGACCGCCGTCAACCCGAATTGATTTCACGTTGCCGCCTCGCTACGCGGCGCTTTTACACCGAACGCGAACGCGATCGCGAACGCGGAGAGCCATTCGTGTTAATTTTTTTCCTCCCTCGGCGTCCCCCGGCCCCGACAGCGTTGCGCGATATACGCGCTCTCGCGAGACAATGATTACACGCGACGGCAGTACGAGATCTTATGAATCTAATTGCGGGTTGGTATTTAATGTTTTCCACTTCGACCGTTCTCTCTCCCTCTCTCTCTCTCTCTCTCTCTCTCTTTCTCCTGCAACCATAGGCCCTCCCCCTCTCTCTCCGGCAACCTCCACCACCCCTCCCGTTCTCGTGTTGCGGTCTCTCTCGTTCTTTCTTCCTCCGCCGACACGGCGAAACTTGTTCTTGGGAACGATTAAGAATCTCTAGATTGCCACGGGAGCCGTAATGGCGTCGTTAAGTGCGCTAATGTGATTACCGGCTGAAAGCGGCGAACGGTCGAGCGCTTCGAGACAAAAACAGGGGCAATTTACGTTCCCTCCTCGGAAAATTGGCCGGTCGTGTAACAGCTCGCCTTTTTCCACCAACGGGTCCCTACGATCGTCGAAGGAGTTTCCCGTTCGACGAATTCGGCTTTCCGCGGGCCCACGACGCGGTGTTCCCTCGCCGTTCCCCACCCTCTCTCTCTCTCTCTCTCTCTCTCTCTCTCTTTCTCTCTTTATCTCTCTGAAATAACCGAAATTTTCCGCTCACCGAGGCTTCGAAGATAGCACACGCCGATCGTTAATTCCGGCGCGAACAGGTAGAATTTACGCGTGATCCGTTGGCAACAATTAGCCGCTTTATTTTCTGGTCCGCGGCGCTCCCGTTTTCGGACGCTAATTATCATCGGTCCTCCCGCCGACCGTCTCCGCCGACCACCGACGATCTCGCGCGTCCTCCGCCGCGTCTATTTTCGTGCGGCCGATGCGATGGATCGCGAATTTCTAATTAAACGGACCGAGAAAACCGAGTCCGACGGGCGAACGAAATCGCGCCGACGCGTCCGCGCGACTCGTTCGAGACCGTTTACGTGGACGCGGAATACGCGGCGCCGAAAAAACGCAGGGTTTCGAGGACCTGGATGATCTTTCCGAGAAGCAACGCTCGAGGCGGCCGAGCGACCGTCGAGACGGTCCGACGGGAGAGAATCGCGCGGTCGGCGCGAGTTCGGGTTAGCATTCGACTTGTTTCCACGTCTCGCGATCCTCCACGGATCGTTGAGACAATTACGAGAGAAGATAGTATTGGAATAGCGAGTGTCGAATGATAATGTCGAGCGAATAGACGTACAAACTGTATTGACCTAACCCTGACCTAAATCGCTGAATCGCTGATTCTGTATTAATATTAATATTTGTTTCTTTTTTCTTTATTATAAAAAATGGGGTTTTAGCCGTGTATATAAATAAATAAATGAACAAATAAGTTACGAACAGCGGGAAGTCTCTTTTAAACCGCTAGGCAGGAACCATACGCGAATGGTAATAACTATTGGGTCTTAGGTGGGTGCGGTTTTTGAACGCATTGAAATAAACCCATTACGATCGAATCGCCAACAATAACGATAACACTAGAAGCTATTAACATGTCAAGTGCCGGGCATTAACTCCAAAAATGTTCGTAATACCATAGTCATTGGATTAAACTTCGGCTGGATTTCACTGACCGCGGCGACCCTGCGCGACTTCAAACAAGTCGTCATTAATACACGTCCCATGTAATTGTTTCAAAACTCCTGTAATCCTCTATTAACTCGTCTAACTCGGAAGCATGCAATATTTTCTGAGACAACAGCCGTCCAGCAATTGGCAGGATTGACGAAGGGATTAACGAAACCGAAACTGGAAAGTGAAATGCGAACGCTCGCGTGTTCCAAAAATCCTGTTGAATTTCAACGAATAGGTCGAACGCGAAAATCGATCCGGCGAATAGTTCTTTTTGTTTTCCATCCGATACGATTTAATCGCGAGGGCGCGTGACGATGTAATTTCTCTTTTCCGATCGTTGTTGCTTTTACCCGAGTCGAATCGTGTCGTTTAACCGCAGACATGTCATAAAGAGAGAGAGAACGTATTTGATATTTTCTTGAATCGATAAAAAGTACTGATCGAAAGTTCAAGATTGTGAAAAGTATCGAAGTTATTCCCGTAGCTGAGTAGAATTCTAATAAATCCGAATAAATGGATCTGAAAAGCTAGTTAAAGAATTCGCGTCGGCCGTACGCCGTCCGCCGCGACACTGAACGCGTTAAGGGATCACGGGACGAACGAAATCCACCGGAACGGACAGTTTTAATTGCGCAGAAACCGGGCGCGAAACTTTGGCTTTCGGGGCGATCCGCGCTAATTTTGCATCCGTCGCCGAGGCGTTCGTTAATTCCGTTGGAGCGGGCCTGCCAAAACCCCGGCAACGGGGATGGAATAAGAAACTCGGCGCCGAGCAGAAGGTGCGAGATTAAAGCGACACGGGTTAACACGCCTCTCGACCGCTGCAAGGGACACGGATACGATCTTTATCGCGGCTTTTTTTCCTTACTCGTCCGTAGAAACTTGTCGACACCTAATCCGGCCGAGAGGGACCAACGTCTCTTTCAAGAAATTGAACCTGTTTGCCGGCTAAGCTTTTGAAACCGCAGCAGGCGATGCGATTGCGAGCGAGAAACGCGATCGAGACGGAACGCCGTTCGGAAATCTGTCACAGCGGATCGGAAGAAAAACCTCCGGGAAACTGTCGCGAGACGGGGTCCGACAGGGGTTAGGCTAACTTTGCTATTGAGAGATGCTCGTGTTTTCTGTCGTAGAGCTTGCGGTCGATCGCGAGAATTCTCGAATTGTTGTCATTTAGAGAATAAAGCTAGCAATGAAAAGATCGACAGTGTGTTAAGGTCGCTGGTTCGAGGAGCGCAACGAGTCGCCGCCAATGCCAGTTGGTTCGCAAGGACGATGCCGACTTTCTCTGTGCGAGATGTTATCGATGGAAGTCGAAGATGAGAACGGAGGTAACTTACGGTGATCTAGAGCGGAATTGGCGACGAATCCTCGGCCGGTCGGACACTCCAAGTTGGTGTTAGCGGTAGCGGCGGTGTTGCCGATGCCCTGCAGGTGGTAATGCCCGAAGGACGGACCCCTGGGCGCCATGATGGCCGCGATGCTGAAGTCCGTCGCTTTTCCCCTTTCCCCTTTCGTAGGCATACCTTCTCGCGCGACGACACCTTGGTTTCCAACTTTTCCGAAAGCCCCTCGGTCCGTTTCGCGACCCTCGCCTCGTCTCTATCGTCCGCCTCCGTTCCGATTCCTCTCGGTCCTCGGATGCTACCGGCTGGTCTGTCACTCTCGATCTCCCTCGAAGCGAACGGCTACGGTCGCAGGATCACCACCGTCACTCGCGAGAAGACGCGCCGCGATTCGTCTCGATCGGCCTGATCGTTCCGCGGTCGACGATACGGCGATGAACCGCGAGACGACGACGCACCTCCACTTCCCATCGACTTTCGTTTCGCTTCGTTTTGCTCGGTTTTCGGCGGTCGCGGGGAGCGCGAAGAAGGGAGTTACGAGAGCGTGCGTATTCGGACGACCGGTTTGCGGTGGGTACGCGTAATAACGGCACGCAGAAGGTATGGCCAAGACTAGGATCGTCGCGGAGCAGAACGAACGCGTCTGCGCTGCTCGACTTCCCGAACTCCACTGGGCCGCCGCTCCTCCTCCCACGCGCACCGTTCGCCCCACCAGGCGGACGAGGGTGACGGCAACGGCGCTCGATCCTGGCCGCTCACGGACCTCCGATAACGCGGCGAGCCGCGACGAGACGCGACCATCGGCCGGCCGCGTGTCCGACAGAGAGGGAGAGTGCGCGCGCCCCGAAGGGGCGTGGCCCCGGCCGGCAGGAACGAGGCGGGCAAGCGGCCGAGATGGATACGGGGCCGGTCGCGCTCGCCGATCCGACCAGCCACGGCGCGATACGTGCCGGCCGAGTCGGTGGGCGGGTTCCTCCGCGCGCCCTCACCCCTCCTCTCGCACCCGCTCGCGATCCCTGTCGGTAGGCCACGCCCACGCTTAACCACCGACACGACCACCGCGCTTCGCTACCTTCGACCATCGTCGACGCTACCACCACCACGCTCGCAGCCGCCGCCGCCGCCGCTGCCACCACCTCCGCCACCTCCATCACCACCATCGCCACCACCACCATCGCAATACCCGGCACCGATACCGGAGGTATCTCGAAGCAGCGTGGCCGCGCAACGACGAAAGAGAGATCGATCGACCCCTCGCGCACCGGATGCCCGGCGTTCGTACCTATCTGCGTATGTACCACGATCCTACGAGCAGTGGCGTAGCACTCGGTCCAACGATTCTCGAAAGGAATATACCGTTAATATCTCGCGATTTAGGAATCGCCGAGCGTCTTTCCCGTCTACGATTCACAGACGAGAACGATTAAGAACGTTTCGATCGACGATTTGAATTCGCGTTTTGAACCGCGGACAACCAAATCTAGCTCGATTCGAGTCGGATGGGAGTATCGTCGCGAAACGTAGATTTGCGGGAAAGGGCATCGACCTTGAAGGTAGCAAATAGCGATCAGCTAACAAGAGTCACGCTCGCGGTTCCGATTGGTGCTTCCATGTTTGCCTAAACATGGTATGATACGTGTTGCGGCTGTGTCGCCATTTTATTTTGCTTACGCATACTACACGTGCATGTGAACGGCGCGTGTGTTTCTTCGATTTTACTAAAAAATGGCGTCCAACGACACCGCTTTACCCTTGTTTCGTGACTCTTGTTAGAGCGTCTCTAGTAGCGAGCGGCGTCGAACGCTCCAGGAGCGTGCAGCGGTCGAAATCGTTTCTCCCAGCATCCGAGAGCGATTACGCCACTGGCGTTGGCCCAGGCGTCGCGATACACATACATACGTATCCACACCGGCTGCTAATAGAGGCGTACACCGTGTTGGATCGACTTTCCAGGTGGAATCTCTCGTCGTGAATTTATTCGGGTCCGACGATTCCGAGTTCGCCGAGCCGGGCTACGACGAGTCGCCGCGCCGTCTTCTCTCGCCGATCTCTCGTGACGCGCAACGATTGGCGATCCAAGTCTAGGCAACCAGATAACTATACAACTAAACAGCTATACAGCTATACAGCTAAACAGCTATACAGCTAAACAGGTATAGAGCTAAACAGTTGTACAATTAAACAATTATACAACTAAACACTTATGCAGCTAAACAATTATACAGCTAAACAGGTATACAGCTATGCAACTGAACAGATATACAGCTTGTTACGGCCGAATCGCGGCCGTATTTGTCGAATAAACGGCGAGGCGGCAAGACAATAACACGATCGACGTGCGTTGGCCCGACCGTCAAACGCTCGCCTCGGCCTAACGTATACATGCAGCGTTTTTGCCTTAGAAGGCAATGACCGGCCTTCGACACCTGACGATGCGTCACCTTGAGCATCGGCCAGGTGTCTATATATACTGCCGCAAATGTGATAACGAAAATTCTCCAAGATATCGATATAGCGAACAGTCAAGTTTAATTTAGCGCCCCTTGCTCCTATACGAAGCCGTGCTTCAGTTTTTATACTTCTTTCGTAGCCGTGCTACGCTTCATACGTCAAACGGAGCCGTGCTCCAAAAGCTTGTAAACCAAAGGACTGTGGAGTCCGAATCCAATAAATCGCGTGTCGTCTCCTCCCGAATTCCGGCGCTTTAATTTTGTGCCGTGCGCGACACAGCTAAATAGCTAAATAGTAAAACCGCTAAGCAGCTGAGCAATGGAGAATGGCGGCAACAAAGCGGGAAACGAGAGAAATCACGATAAAAACCGTTGCCGGTGTATACAACATATACCGCCGTTGGTCCCGATCGTCCCGATCGATCAAACGTCGCAGGGATCGTGTCTGACGGCTCGAAAAAGGGCGCAACCTAGAACTCGGCGCGCGTACGATCGCGGCGAGGCCTCGCCGCACTGGTCGGGGATCTTGGTGAGCATCGGGGGGGGGGGAGAGATTTACGGCGTGTGTTTAGGCACTTGGCCGGCTACGTAGAGCCCCCCCTCTTTATTATACTAATTTCTCGGGCATGTCAAAATACCTATCGTGTACCGGCCTCCTGAATTCTATTCGACACGCTGGGTGCCCCCGTAGTCGACCGCATAAAGGATCCCATCCCGTATAAAATATGAAGACCCGTCTCTTCCACCTCCTCGCGTTCTTCAGGTAGCTGAAAAGGACGGCGCGTAACACTCGAGAGGGAAACCGGGAGAAAAAGAGACGGCGACAGCCAGAGAGAAATGGTGACAGTGTGTGAGAGAGAGAGGAAAAGAAAGAGAGAGAAAGCGCGCGCGAGAGAGAGACAGGGTCGAGAAGAGTGAAAAGTCTTTGGAACCGCAGGAACGAACGAGCTGTACCCGGGACCCCCCGTTTGCTTTGGCATTCGAATGTTTTTAAGACGGTTGCGGATGCTCCGAGGTGTCACCGTCGCCTTTCAAATTCGTCACCCATGGCGAAACTCGGCGTTTAACGGGCTACGACTGTATCCACTTAACTCGAGTTTCTTGCAGCAGCAACGGCGCAACCTCCCACGGGTCGAGGCGGTTCGCCCGGTCGGATATCCCAGCCGTTGTATACCTGCGGTTAACCATGGAACCGACGACGCCGCGCCGTTGCCCTCGTTCTGACTCATTTACGGAGAGGCGCGCGCCATTGTTTGGACGACAACGCGGGCAACCGAATCCGCGCGCCGGGCTCACCGCCGAGATAAATGATTTCCATTGTCCCGCGACCTAACAGCCACGATCGCCGAGCCCGTAAGTGTCGGGGGACGCCGCGCCGCGCCGCGCCGTGCCGCGCCGTGTGCTCTCTGGGAGCCGGCGGCAATCGCGGATGCAAATCGGCCGTTTGTTNCGTCAAACGGAGCCGTGCTCCAAAAGCTTGTAAACCAAAGGACTGTGGAGTCCGAATCCAATAAATCGCGTGTCGTCTCCTCCCGAATTCCGGCGCTTTAATTTTGTGCCGTGCGCGACACAGCTAAATAGCTAAATAGTAAAACCGCTAAGCAGCTGAGCAATGGAGAATGGCGGCAACAAAGCGGGAAACGAGAGAAATCACGATAAAAACCGTTGCCGGTGTATACAACATATACCGCCGTTGGTCCCGATCGTCCCGATCGATCAAACGTCGCAGGGATCGTGTCTGACGGCTCGAAAAAGGGCGCAACCTAGAACTCGGCGCGCGTACGATCGCGGCGAGGCCTCGCCGCACTGGTCGGGGATCTTGGTGAGCATCGGGGGGGGGGGAGAGATTTACGGCGTGTGTTTAGGCACTTGGCCGGCTACGTAGAGCCCCCCCTCTTTATTATACTAATTTCTCGGGCATGTCAAAATACCTATCGTGTACCGGCCTCCTGAATTCTATTCGACACGCTGGGTGCCCCCGTAGTCGACCGCATAAAGGATCCCATCCCGTATAAAATATGAAGACCCGTCTCTTCCACCTCCTCGCGTTCTTCAGGTAGCTGAAAAGGACGGCGCGTAACACTCGAGAGGGAAACCGGGAGAAAAAGAGACGGCGACAGCCAGAGAGAAATGGTGACAGTGTGTGAGAGAGAGAGGAAAAGAAAGAGAGAGAAAGCGCGCGCGAGAGAGAGACAGGGTCGAGAAGAGTGAAAAGTCTTTGGAACCGCAGGAACGAACGAGCTGTACCCGGGACCCCCCGTTTGCTTTGGCATTCGAATGTTTTTAAGACGGTTGCGGATGCTCCGAGGTGTCACCGTCGCCTTTCAAATTCGTCACCCATGGCGAAACTCGGCGTTTAACGGGCTACGACTGTATCCACTTAACTCGAGTTTCTTGCAGCAGCAACGGCGCAACCTCCCACGGGTCGAGGCGGTTCGCCCGGTCGGATATCCCAGCCGTTGTATACCTGCGGTTAACCATGGAACCGACGACGCCGCGCCGTTGCCCTCGTTCTGACTCATTTACGGAGAGGCGCGCGCCATTGTTTGGACGACAACGCGGGCAACCGAATCCGCGCGCCGGGCTCACCGCCGAGATAAATGATTTCCATTGTCCCGCGACCTAACAGCCACGATCGCCGAGCCCGTAAGTGTCGGGGGACGCCGCGCCGCGCCGCGCCGTGCCGCGCCGTGTGCTCTCTGGGAGCCGGCGGCAATCGCGGATGCAAATCGGCCGTTTGTTCGAGAGCGAATCGACGGAAACGGAAGAGAAAGAGCGAGGAGAGGAGAGAAGGCGCACCGGGTCGGTTCGACCGACCGCGAGCGAGCGAGCGAGCCGGCGCAGCCGAGAGGAGACGCTCCGTGCCGGAGCTGTGCTATACGGGCAGAGCTATACGAAAGTCATTCGTCATCGGCGGAGAGAAGAGAGGTCTGCGCGAGTTGCATTTGCCGGCCGGTAGTGGTTACCGTTGGCGGAGGAAGGTGGACGCTGGGACGGTAGAGGTGGTAGCACAGGCCACCCACGCAGCGCGCGCTCGAATTCGGTGGCGAGCTCTCGATTATTCGATGATCGCGTCGGATCTCTCCGTCGTCCAACCGTATATGTATTATATATACGTACACCGTGCGTCTGCCATCGTCCCGCGCCGACGATGGCCGAATACTCCTCGGAACGGGAGCGAAGCGCTTTCCGAACCGTGAACCGGCGAGAGTTCTGGCCGGCATCGATCGTCGAAAGAAAAGATACGTG